TTGTGTCTGTGGGGGGTGTGAGGGTGTGGAGTGGAGTCAGGAGAGCGCGGGGCGGAGCCGAGGCCGAGCAGTGGGTATAAAGCCGCGACGTGAGGGGGTCACAGGGGAACCGCAGAGTTACAAAAAGTGACGTCGGCTTCACATCATAATTAAACAATCAAAACTAACACAGAATCACCAACACTAACAGCACTGACACCAACACTCACACTAACAGCACTGACACCAACACTAACAGCACTGACACCAACACTAACACTAACAGCACTGACACCAACACTAACACTAACAGCACTGACACCAACACTAACACTAACAGCACTGACACCAACACTAACACTAACAGCACTGACACCAACACTAACACTAACAGCACTGACACCAACACTAACACTAACAGCACTGACACCAACACTAACACTAACAGCACTGACACCAACACTAACACTAACAGCACTGACACCAACACTAACACTAACAGCACTGACACAACACTAACAGCACTGACACCAACACTAACACTAACAGCACTGACACCAACACTAACACTAACAGCACTGACACCAACACTAACACTAACAGCACTGACACCAACACTAACACTAACAGCACTGACACCAACACTAACACTAACAGCACTGACACCAACACTAACAGCACTGACACCAACACTAACACTAACAGCACTGACACCAACACTAACACTAACAGCACTGACACCAACACTAACACTAACAGCACTGACACCAACACTAACACTAACAGCACTGACACCAACACTAACAGCACTGACACCAACACTAACACTAACAGCACTGACACCAACACTAACACTAACAGCACTGACACCAACACTAACACTAACAGCACTGACACCAACACTAACACTAACAGCACTGACACCAACACTACACTAACAGCACTGACACCAACACTAACACTAACAGCACTGACACCAACACTAACACTAACAGCACTGACACCAACACTAACACTAACAGCACTGACACCAACACTAACACTAACAGCACTGACACCAACACTAACACTAACAGCACTGACACCAACACTAACACTAACAGCACTGACACCAACACTAACACTAACAGCACTGACACCAACACTAACACTAACAGCACTGACACCAACACTAACACTAACAGCACTGACACCAACACTAACCAAACTAACAGCACTGACACCAAACCACTAAACACTAACAGCACTGACACCAACACTAACACTAACAGCACTGACACCAACACTAACACTAACAGCACTGACACCAACACTAACACTAACAGCACTGACACCAACACTAACACTAACAGCACTGACACCAACACTAACATTAACAGCACTGACACCAACACTAACACCACTGACACCAACACTAACACTAACAGCACTGACACCAACACTAACACTAACAGCACTGACACCAACACTGACACTAACAGCACTGACACCAACACTAACAGCACTGACACCAACACTGACACTAACAGCACTGACACCAACACTAACACTAACAGCACTGACACCAACACTGACACTAACAGCACTGACACTAACAGCACTGACACCAACACTAACACTAACAGCACTGACACCAACACTAACACTAACAGCACTGACACCAACACTAACACTAACAGCACTGACACCAACACTAACACCACTGACACCAACACTAACACTAACAGCACTGACACCAACACTAACACTAACAGCACTGACACCAACACTAACACCACTGACACCAACACTAACACTAACAGCACTGACACCAACACTAACACTAACAGCACTGACACCAACACTAACACTAACAGCACTGACACCAACACTGACACTAACAGCACTGACACCAACACTAACAGCACTGACACCAACACTGACACTAACAGCACTGACACCAACACTAACAGCACTGACACCAACACTAACAGCACTGACACCAACACTGACACTAACAGCACTGACACCAACACTGACACTAACAGCACTGACACCAACACTAACAGCACTGACACCAACACTGACACTAACAGCACTGACACTAACAGCACTGACACCAACACTAACACTAACAGCACTGACACCAACACTAACACTAACAGCACTGACACCAACACTAACACTAACAGCACTGACACCAACACTAACACTAACACCACTGACACCAACACTAACACTAACAGCACTGACACCAACACTAACACTAACAGCACTGACACCAACACTGACACTAACAGCACTGACACCAACACTAACAGCACTGACACCAACACTGACACTAACAGCACTGACACCAACACTGACACTAACAGCACTGACACCAACACTGACACTAACAGCACTGACACTAACAGCACTGACACCAACACTAACACTAACAGCACTGACACCAACACTAACACTAACAGCACTGACACCAACACTAACACTAACAGCACTGACACCAACACTAACACCACTGACACCAACACTAACACTAACAGCACTGACACCAACACTAACACTAACAGCACTGACACCAACACTGACACTAACAGCACTGACACCAACACTAACACTACAGCACTGACACCAACACTAACAGCACTGACACCAACACTGACACTAACAGCACTGACACCAACACTAACAGCACTGACACCAACACTGACACCAACACTGACACTAACAGCACTGACACCAACACTAACAGCACTGACACCAACACTGACACTAACAGCACTGACACTAACAGCACTGACACCAACACTAACACTAACAGCACTGACACCAACACTAACACTAACAGCACTGACACCAACACTAACACTAACAGCACTGACACCAACACTAACACTAACAGCACTGACACCAACACTAACACCACTGACACCAACACTAACACTAACAGCACTGACACCAACACTAACACTAACAGCACTGACACCAACACTGACACTAACAGCACTGACACCAACACTAACAGCACTGACACCAACACTAACAGCACTGACACCAACACTGACACTAACAGCACTGACACCAACACTAACAGCACTGACACCAACACTGACACTAACAGCACTGACACCAACACTGACACTAACAGCACTGACACCAACACTAACAGCACTGACACCAACACTGACACTAACAGCACTGACACTAACAGCACTGACACCAACACTACCACTAACAGCACTGACACCAACACTAACAGCACTGACACCAACACTGACACTAACAGCACTGACACTAACAGCACTGACACCAACACTAACACTAACAGCACTGACACCAACACTGACACTAACAGCACTGACACCAACACTGACACTAACAGCACTGACACCAACACTGACACTAACAGCACTGACACCAACACTAACAGCACTGACACCAACACTGACACTAACAGCACTGACACCAACACTGACACTAAAAGCACTGACACCAACACTGACACTAACAGCACTGACACCAACACTGACACTAACAGCACTGAGACCAACACTGACACTAACAGCACTGACACCAACTCTGACACTTAGAAAAGCTAAAAGAAACTAATTCACAGTGAAAGTGGTTCAGGTGTAAAGGAGTGATGAGGATCTGTGTATTAGGGGATGTGAGGGTGCGCATGTGTGTGGAGGGGGGATGTGAGGGTGTGTGGTTGGAGATGTGAGGGTTTGTGTGAGGGGGGAATGTCAGGATGTGAGTGTGAGGGGGTGTGTGTTTGGGGTGATGTGTGGGTGTTTGTGGGTGGGGGCGAATCTGAGTTTGTGGGTGTTGTGGGTGTGTGTGGGGTTGCTGTGAGGATGTGTGTGTTGGTGGGTATATAAGGATGTTTGTGGGGGATGAGCTGTGATGGTGTGTGTGTGTGAGAGATGGTGTGTATGAGGTTATATGAGGATCTGTGTGTTGAGGGGATGTGAGGGGATGTATGTGGGCAGATGTGAGCGCGGATGTGAGCGCGTGGGGGGATGTGAGCGCGTGGGGGGTTGTGAGCGCGTGGGGGGTTGTTGGCGCGTGTGCGGATGTAGGCGCGTGGGGGGAAATGAGCGTGTGGGGGGATGTGAGCGTGTGGGGGGATGTGAGCGCGTGGGGGGATGTGAGCGTGTGGGGGGTTGTGAGCGCGTGGGGGGATGTGAGCGCGTGGGGGGATGTGAGCGTGTGGGGGGATGTGAGCGGTGGGGGAATGTGAGCGTGTGGGGGGTTGTGAGTGTGTGGGGGGATGTGAGGGGGTGGGGGGATGTGAGGGTGTGGGGGGTTGTGAGTGTCTGGGGGGATGTGAGGGTGTGGGGGGATGTGAGCGTGTGGGGGAATGTGAGCGTGTGGGGGGATGTGAGCGCGTGGGGGGATGTGAGCGCGTGGGGTAATGTGAGCGTGTGGGGGGTTGTGAGTGTGTGGGGGGATGTGAGGGGGTGGGGGGATGTGAGGGCGTGTGCGGGGTGGGGTGAATGTGTGTGGGGGGGCATTTGAGTGTGTGAGGGGATGTGAGGGTGTGTGTGGGGGAATGTGTGAGGGATGTGTGTGTGTGTAAGCGGATGGGAGTGTCAGGGTCTGTGTGTTGGGGGTGTGGTGATGATGTGATTGTGTGTGTGTGTGGGGGGTGATGTGATTGTGTGTGTGTGGGGGGGTGATGTGATTGTGTGTGTGTGTGTGGGGGGTGATGTGATTGTGGTGGTGGGGTGATGTGATTGTGTTGTGTGGGGGGTGATGTGATTGTGTGTGTGTGTGGGGGGTGATGTGATTGTGTGTGTGTGTGGGGGGTGATGTGATTGTGTGTGTGTGTGGGGGGTGATGTGATTGTGTGTGTGTGTGGGGGGTGATGTGATTGTGTGTGTGTGGGGGGGGTGATGTGATTGTGTGTGTGTGGGGGGGGTGATGTGATTGTGTGTGTGGGGGGGGTGATGTGATTGTGTGTGTGTGGGGGGTGATGTGATTGTGTGTGTGTGGGGGGGGGATGTGATTGTGTGTGTGTGTGTGGGGGTGATGTGATTGTGTGTGTGTGGGGGGGGGGCAGTGTGTTGGATGTTGGTTACTTGGTCACTCATTACCTGCGCAGCTGCGAATCCTTTTCCACTCTGGAAACAAGAAGAAGTGATCAGACCTTTGGCAGCTCCTCACCTCGTGACATTCCCTCCCTCTCTCACACTTTCTCTCCCTCACTCTCTCTCTAACTCACTCCCTCCATCTCTCACTCTCTCCCACTCCTTCCCTCTCTCACTCCTTCCCTCTCTCCCTCATTGAAGCTACTCATTCTCTCTCCCCCTCTGTGTGTGTGTTCACAAACCAATGTTGTCTGAGGGTAGAAAAGGGAAAGTTGAAGCTGTGAAACAGACCAATGTTTGGAGTTAAACACTCTGTAATAATTCATGGAATAGAATCATTGAAATTTACAGCCCAGAAGGAGGCCATTCACCATCGAGTCTATATGGGCTCTCAGAGCAAAGTGTTAACAACAGCTGCCCCGCCCTATCATTAACCCCTTCAAGTCTCTATCCCTCATACACCTGTCTACTTCCCTGTCTACTGCCCTCCGCTCCACCATTGGAAATCGTGCGTTCAGCCACTACGCCCCGAAACTCTGGAACACTCTCCCTCAAACCCTCCGCCTTGTCCCCTCTCTCCCCTTTTCAAGTCCCACCTGAAAACCTCTCTTTTTGACTGTGCTTATAGTCAGCTCCCACCCCCACCCCCACCTCCCCCCCCCGGCCCGGCTCAGGCTCTGTCTCTGTTCAGCGATCTGAGACGCTATCCTGCGTGGAGGGCACTATACAAGTGCAAGTTGTTGTTATTCTATAATAATAATCCTTGAAATAGATTTGGCTCCTCATAAGCATTTCGCAGGATTTACTGGAGAGTGTAGTGACTGTGTATTTTGTTGGCAAACTATAACATAAATGATCTGGACTTGGGTATAGCAAGCACCATTTCCAAGTTTGCGGACGACACAAAGTTAGATAGGGTGGTACACAGTGAGAAGGATAGGAGCCAACTGCAGAATGGTAAAATGGGCGACACATGGCAGGTGAATTTCAATGTGGAGAAATGTGAGGTAATGCATTTTGGTGGAAAGAATGAATGAAAGGAGGCAATATAGGCTGGTAATACAATCTTAAGGGGATAAAAGAACAGATAGACCGGGGGGTGCAGGTAAATGAATCCTTGAAGGTGGCAGGACAGGGAGATAAGGCTGTAAAAAGGGCATATAAAAAGGCTGTATGCAAAAAGGCTTTATAAATAGGGGCATAGAGTACAAGAGTCAGGAGGTTATGATTAACCTATATAAACACTGGTTAGGCCTCAGTTAGAATACTGCGCCCAGTTCTGGGCACCGCACTATAGGAAGGATGTTAAGGCATTGGAAAGAGTGCAGAGGAGATTTATGAGGATGGTACCAGGAATGAGGGACCTTGATGATGAGGAAAGGCTGGAGAGGTTAGGATTATTCTCATTGGAGCAGAGAAGGTTACGAGGACCTAATAGAGGTCTTCAATATCATGAGGGGATTTGATAGGTTAGAAAGGGAAAAACTGTTCCCACTGGTGGGTGTCGGTGACTCGAGTTCACAGATTCAAAATAGTCTCTAAAAGAAGCCGAGGGGAGGTGAGAAGAAATGTTTTCACGCAGCGAGTTGTTCGAATCTGGAATGCATTGCCTGAGATGGCGGTCGAGGCCGATTCGATAACAGCTTTTAAAAACGCGATGGATGGTATTTGAGGAGGACGGGTTTGCAGGTTATGGGGAAAGGGCTGGAGAGTGGGACTGACATTACATTGCTCTTTTCAAAGAGCCGACACAGACTCTATGGGCCGAATGGCCTCTTTTTCTGCTGTTCAATTCTATGATTCTATGAACTATGTCTGCTTTGTGTGAAGCTTGTGAATGAGGTTAATCACAACGTGAAACTGTTATTTTATTTTGATGACTTACCCACTCTCTTCTCAAGATCTGGAGGATACAAAACAAAACTGTTAGAAATCGCTCCTGAATCCAGTATTGTTTAATGCTCAGTCTATATGTTTACAACATTAACAGTTAGAAACTACACAAAGTGCAGGAGGTTTGAATTACAATAACATTTACATTTACACAGCACCTTCCACAGCGGGAGATATCCCAAAGCCCTCACAATGCTGACTGGGGTCTGAGCTGGGATCTGAGCTGGGATCTGAGCTGGGGTCTGAGCTGGGGTCTGAGCTGGGGTTGGGGTGGGGGGGAGCGGGTGAGAGGGTAAAATTAACTGAAGATGCAGAATGAGGACGGTCATGGGATAGGCCTTGAAAGAGGTGATGGAGTGGGAGCGGGCGAATCGGAAGGATTCTTGGCTTGAGTTGCAGAGAGTGGGGGCAGAGAGGCTGAAAGCCTGAGCTGCTGATGGTGGGGAGGGAGGATCAGGCGGTGACATGAAACAGGCCGGGGGTCACTGAGTGAAGGGAGGGACCAATTGTTTTATAGAACTTGCACATTCTTACACAAACAGTAACAGTGTTGTGATGGGAGATGTTACTGATGGGAACGTACCTTTGATCTCTCGGTGTTGTTTTACACTGTAGGGGACAAGAACACTCAGCACCAATATGGCAAGTCCTAAGAGCAGTGCGGAAACCACCAAACCCACTGGCACTTTGGGAAAGAACTCGTCTGTCAAGGAATGTAGATAGACATTTAAACATCTCTTCTGATGTCATAACATAACATGTCGGAGCAGGAGGAGGCCATTCAGCCCTTCGAGCCTGCCCCGCCATTCAATCATGGCTGATCTGCTAATCTAACTCCAGCTAATAACCTGACACTGCCTTATCCCCATATCCATTCATACCTTTGGCAATAAGAAATCTATCTCTCTCTGTCTTGAATATGTTCAAGGACTGAGCATCAACAGGCCTTTGGGGGAGTGAGTTCCATACATTCACTGCCCTTTGAGTGAAGAAGTTCTTCCTCAACTCAGTGCGAAAGGGCTGCCTCTGATTTTAAGGTTGTGACCTTGGTTTTAGTTTCTCCAACCGGGGACACAATCTCCCACTATCTACTCTATCTGCCCTTTGATGATCTTATAGGTTTCTGTAAGATCCCCTCTAATTCTTCTATATTCCACAGAATATAGGCCCAAATTGTTCAGCCTATCCTCGTAACTCATCCCCTTCATCCCTGGTACTAACCGAGTAAATCTACGCTGCTCCCCCTCCGAGGCAAGTACATATCTCCTTAAATGAGAAGACCAAAACTGCCCCCAGTATTCCAGGTGTGGTCTCACCAGAGCCCTATACAGTGGCAGCAACACTTCCCTACTCTTATACTCTAATCCTTTCATACTGAACGCTAACATACCGTTCCCCTTCCTAATTGCTGCTGCACCTGCAGACTAACTTTCTGTGACTGGTGTACAAGGACACCCGAGTCCCTCTGTACACTAACACATTCCAATCTCTCCCCTTCTAAAAGATAACCCGCTCTACTGCTTTTGCTACCGAGGCGGATGTCAAACACAAATGGATGTCAAATTGGATGTCAAACACAAATAGCTTGATTTGCCCCCATTTCAGTTGTTGTTGTTGTCCTGTAGCTTCTCAGCTGTTAACTTGGAGTCTTCCCTTCACTGTGAGGTGGATCAGCAACATTTGCCTTTTCTGAAGCAATGTTGGCTGTGAGTTATGAAGTATTGATTCATTCACAATGTGATCAGCAGCTTAAGTAGGTTAGCAGGAAGGGCGGGTGAGCTGGAGTACTGCGGTCATTTCGGTTTGTAATAAGAAGATTCATTGCCTCCAAAGCCCTCCATGGTCCTGCTTCTCCCTATCTCTGTAATCGGTTAACTCCATATTTCTGCCCCAATTCTGTAGAACTCGCAATCTGCATTATATCTATCAGTCTATTGTTAATAATTCAGTGTATTTACTGACCTGAGATTTGAAGTTTTCCTTCTTGTTCATTTTCTTCATTGTGAATCAGACACCTGATCTTGTTGGTTGAATGGATTATTTCTATTTGGCCTTTAACACTGAAGAGACCTTTAGAATTCTCTCTGACCGTCCAGTTACTGAGTGTTGTTAAGTTGTTTCCCTGATCATCAAACCACAGAACCTCTGGTGCTGGAACCATCCACTGGATTCACACCGCAGCCTCACACCATCACTGTGCTGCCCATCAACGTGAATCCAAGGCTGACTGCCAAGGCCTGGAAGACAGGAGACGTGAATCAGACAATATTAATACCCGGACATTACAGAGCAGTAACTGTGGGACGGAGACCAGTGTGGGTGAGAGCACGTGCGGGGGAGTTTTAGATGAGTTCTAGTTTGTGGATAGTGGAGCCGGAGTGACCAGTGAGGAGGGCATTAGAGTAGTCGAGGCCGGAGGTAACAGATTCACGGACATGTACAAAAAATTTAACTCACAACAATTGTTGATCCTGGAATTTATTGGAGATGTTGGATTAATGGCTGCGTTTCTCTGATGTGTGTCTGTTTCACAATGTTATTGTTCTGCTCAGTTTGTTGCCGAACTCAAGATGGGGGCAAATTTTGCCCCAGGGACATAATACCTCATCTGTGGTGTCCTACAGTGTAGTGGTTAGAGCGCTCGTCTTGCAAGCGAGAGAACCGGGGTTCGATTCCAGGGTGGGACGAAACCTTAGACAAGTTTAGATCTCTGTTTACCAACAGTAAGTAGGGAACCTGGTTGTTAATCGATGAGCAGATGACTTTCCAGGGATAATAGTCCCTCCAAAAAAAAGAAAAAAATGTGGTCCCTCAATCCACGACTGTCGTGGGACACTGCTGTGCACAACTGACTGTTGAGTTTCGCCCACAAAATACAGTCAATTCACTTTACAATATATTCTGTGAATCGCTTTGAGACGTCTCAAAGACATGATAAGGCACTGTATCAAACGCAAGGTTTAATATTATTGATGCATTAGTTCATGTTGGCACGAACCAAGCTTGGGGACCCCAGAGCGTGCGTTGTGGTAACCGCTGGAGTCTAAGCAGCTGAAACAGCAAAGCTTGCCACGTTTAAATCATTGTCTGACAAGCTTTCCTGCTGCTTGTCCACTCAGCCTGTCAGGGCTTTGGCTGAAGGGTTAACAGGAGCTGAGTGGGATGACTCCCTGCCCACAGTGACTGGTTTGCCCTGCCAGGTCCTGCCGATGAGCCAGGCTGGACTGGGCTGCCATCAGCAGTGCCCTGGAATACTGCGGACCCACCTGGCCCGGCGACCAGATCGAGGACCATCATGGAGGACGGACTTATTTCTGACATGCGTTGCCAAGCCCCAGATCAGCTGCAGTCAGACGCTGCTCAGCTGCTCTCAAGGAGCATCAGTCAATCTACTGCAATATGGCAAGTTTCACAGTGCAACACCACCGTTTAGCGGCAGTGAAGCGGTAACTGCAGGTTTTAATTATTTATTTGTTCCCTGGAACTCACAGGACAACCAACACCACCACAAAATTACATGTGTTAAGCGACTTTCACATCGGGAGGACGTCCCGAGTCACTGGACAGACAGAATTACGGACCTGAGCTGGGGATAGGGGTGGGGCGGGTGGTGGAGGAAAGCGGGGGAAGCAGGGAGATCGAAAGCACGGTCGAAGAGGAGGGTCTTGAGATGGGTCTGGAATGTGCAGGTGCCGTGTCGCGGCTGCTCGGTGACGTTGGCCACAGACGGCGTTCCCTGCTCGGGGTACAAGGTGGAGCTGACGTCTCCCCGGGAGACCCCGCTCAGCCCCGCCCTTCACTTCCCGTCACAAACGCAGCTCCAAACTGGTGTAGGGAAACGCACAGAATCAAACACTCGGCATCGTCCAAACCTCCAGGTTATAACAGTCAAACAGAGGGAATGGCTGAGGGTTTTCCTCCTCATTAACCTGTCACTGGGCAGATTCTCAGAGGCTCAGAGTTTTTCCCGTCATTGTTATGCCAGGGATGGAAGAGAGGATAAAGTTTCTCAGTGAAAGTTTGGGTGAAAGTGTAGAGATGAGACATGTTGTCAGCATTGTAAAATGTCACCTTTCCCTCCTCGTAGTCCAGGCAAACCCCGATCTTCCCGGGTCTCACTGTCAGGTTGAGGCGGGTGCGAGGGGAGGTCAGAGCCCTATAGACCCGGCCTCACAGCCATACCCCCCAGACCCCACTCTCTGTTGACTCTGTGATTGATTGTTTCCTGTTGACAGACTCTGTGGTCACTCCCACAATCCACGCAGTCTTGTTGCCCACCTGCACCTCCCAGTAATGTCTCCCTGATGTGAAGCCCTCAGATCCCAGGACAATGAAAGATATAGTAAATCTCTTTGGGGTTTCAGTGAGCGGCTGCCATTCATCTCCATATCTCACACTGGTCAGGTCCTCAGACAGGATGAGCCGGGGATGGGCTGTGTCAGGATCCAGAGTCAGAGAGACCGGAGCTGAGAGAGAGAGAGAAATAACACAGAGTGGAGTGAGGGGGAAAGCCACAAATTCCGACTTTGTGTAAAAAAACTATATCTGGAAACAAAGGCTCACAGTGTGTAGGGGGGGTGGGAGCGCGGGGGGGGGCGACGGCCCGTGCGGAGGGGGCGCGGTGCTCGCGTGGTGGGGGGGCGGCGCGCTTGTAGAGTGTGTGTGTGGGGGGCTGCACGTTTATGTGTGTGGGGGTGTGTGTGTAGTGGTGGGGGCTGTGTGTCTTCGGGGGCTGTGTTTCTGTGGGGGGGGGTGTGCATAGGTGGAGCCTTGTGTGTTGGGCTGGGCGGTGGGCTGAGGGATCTGTGTGTGGGGGGAGCTGTGTGTTGATGGGTCTGTGTTTCTGTGAGGGGGTTGTGTGTGCAGGGGGCTGTGTGCGGGGGGGCTGTATGTGTTTGGGGGGCTGTATGTGTTTGGGGGGTGGATGTTTGTGGGTGGGGGGAATGTGTGTGTGGGAGAGATGAGAGGGTGTTTGGAGGGATATGTGTCTGTGGGGGGAATGTGTGTGTTGGGGTGAATATGAGTGTGTTTGGGGGTGGGGGGAGTATAATAATGTGTGGGGGTAAATTTGGAAAGTTAAATCATTTTCCTGTATATAAACAAGGAGTAGATTTCCCAGTGTCTGGATTGTATATAAACAGGGAGTAGATTTCCCAGTGTCGGGATTGTATATAAACAGGGAGTAGATTTCCCAGTGTCTGGATTGTATATAAACAGGGAGTAGATTTCCCAGTGTCTGGATTGTATATAAACGGAGTAGATTTCCCAGTGACTGGATTGTATATAAACAGGGAGTAGATTTCCCAGTGTCTGGATTGTATATAAACAGGGAGTAGATTTCCCAGTGACTGGATTGTATATAAACAGGGAGTAGATTTCCCAGTGACTGGATTGTATATAAACAGGGAGTAGATTTCCCAGTGTCTGGATTGTATATAAACAGGGAGTAGATTTCCCAGTGACTGGATTGTATATAAACGGAGTAGATTTCCCAGTGTCTGGATTGTATATAAACAGGGAGTAGATTTCCCAGTGTCTGGATTGTATATAAACAGGGAGTAGATTTCCCAGTGACTGGATTGTATATAAACGGAGTAGATTTCCAGTGTCGGGATTGTATATAAACAGGGAGTAGATTTCCCAGTGTCTGGATTGTATATAAACAGGGAGTAGATTTCCCAGTGACTGGATTGTATATAAACG